AGCGCTGACTACTGCCGCCGTACAGTCAAATGATAAAAAATCAGCTTCATTTCAAACAGCTTGACGAGTGGATCTGGTTCGTGACGAATCAACGCTCTCCTCCTCGTATGGATGACGACCCGGCCGGTTGACAAGGACAGCGGATCGAAACCTTGCCCACTCTTAAACCTCCGAGACATTTACCGCTGCCTGTCCGCGTGAAACAGTTGTGGGGAAACAAGAACAAAAATCAAACCCCTTGCAAGCCCGTGCCCTTCCCGTGGCACTGAGGCAACGACACCCCCGTCCTTCATTTTGTCTAGTATTGTGTCGACCACAGGGGACACTGTACTTGCTCCCCACAAAGACAAGGAAGCTGCACATGCGAGAGGTTTCACAAGCCAAACATCGACCAACAAGAATCCACGCACATCGTGAGAGAATATTCGTTGCACCCTGGATATCTATCTATTCTCGCTTAGACCCTCCCACGCCGGCAAGATCTCACGCGTTGATTCTCACCAAGTTGTATCCATGCCCGCCCGTGCACCCAGCCAGGTCTTCGAGTGTCGGGGATACTCTCCTATTTTGCACAAGCTGGTACCAATGACTGAGTAAGGATGGTGAAAAGAAATCAACCCAACAGTTATCCGATCGAACACGAACGTTGCATTATCCTAGATGACCTCCGCGTTGAATGTAACGTGCGAATGCTTGCCGCTTGGACAGGTGAGGAGCTAGAGCTTACTGGACTCTACTTGGGGGCGATTGTTCCCTCTTTGATTGCGCCCGCCACTACACTCCTGTTTGGCTCCACCTCTTCCCAATCCAGGAATGGTGCAAAGAACGGCGATTCTTCAGCCCATCACGTGCATCAACGCCTCTTTGCATATTTCAGGCAATTTTCGCCGAATGTCGCCGACCAAAGTTTTTTTTTTGGCTTCGCAACTCCGCAAGGCTTCGCCCCCAACCACCAACCACGTCGGACGGTGGGCCCTCGATGTCTACAGTAGCTGTCAGTCGCTAATTTTTCAAATTCGCTTCTGCTGCAATCACTCCTTTGGATTGTACATCATCTCTTCTTCTTGACTCAAAAAGCAACATTATGCATACAGGATTCAGCAACATCAACAAACAGCAACATGATGACGTTCCGCCACCGAACAGGCAGGGCTCATCATGAGAGTCTATTAGACGCAATACTACTTGTACGAAAGTACTCAAAGCGTTGAGACCGGGCGATGCTCTCTGAAGAAGAAGTAGAACCTTGCGAGCACAAACGAGGCGGCTACAAGACTACATACATAACGGTGTACCCAGGGTACATTACATGCGGGAAAATATTCCGGACACATAGGCCATCCGGCCACCACCACCCCCCCCGGAGGGGGGAGAAATTCGAAAAGTTACCCTGAATCGTTGACATTCACTCAAGAGTTGCAGCAGTACGGTAGTAGATGGATGACAAACAAACAACGTGCCTCACGCTCGTTAACCCGTCGCATGTACCTCCTCGTCATCAATGCCGGCCCATATTCACCCAGCCTTGCTACTACAGGAACACACAAACGGACACAAGCAGCCTAGTTCGCGTAGCGCCTAATATCTACCAAGAAAGTACATAGTAGTTACAGCACATTTTGTAGTGTTGTTGTAGTATCATCGATCAAAGCTCGAAATCAGTCTAATTCAATTGGAACAGGTCATTGACCAGCTGTCACATTGAACCACCTGCCTCGCCAACTTGCCCTTGCCGCCTCCTTCGGCACTGCACAACAGGGAACATTGTCTCGCAATTCGACTCGTTAGCTTTGGTCTCTTCTTGCAGCTTTTTTTTACTGGACCAATTGGTCACACGCACGGGCGACTGGCGGGCTATAATAATAGCGGCTGCTCCTGCGGTATGCATGCGAAGATTGCGAAGATGACCCTGTTGTTATGTGCGGGGTGCCTGCCATCTCCCGGGGATCTCCACAGCTCCGCAGCGCCAGCAGCGTCATTACAGAGGTGATGCACACCATGCGAGAGCGGGATGCCAACGCACCGAGGCCTCGGCAGAACACCCGGGGATACATGGGTATATGTCCCCCCCCCCCCCCCCC